ATTTCGTACATATTTTGACGTTCATTAGTGTACATTTTGTTACCTATATGAAGAAATGATTTTTGAAATTTTTCCTTCAATGTAAAAAAAGTGCATTCAGGATGAAAGTCGCACATTGAACCCACTTGTCCAAATGCTTTATAAACTAAATTTACTTATCACCACTAAACAGTATTTTTTATTGATTTTATCCTTCCTTAAATGAACCTATTTGTATATATTATGTATTCCATCTTTGGCCATTTAGTATAATTGTGTTTCGTTATTAATTTTATGATAGCTATAGGACGAAATAAACAAATGTTTACGGCATATTTCTGACTGAAATATAAAAAAAGTTATTCAACAAACGTAAACTAAAACCTTGAATCAATCTTTAAAGTGACGGACACAAATTTACGACTGCGGACACACGAATGTCCGTATACGGGTATAATTTGTACGTACAAGACATTAGTAGGGTATGCAAAGGGTTTAAACGGTAAGTGTAAGTAGGCCACTGACAAACGGTGTCGATTGAATGCAAATGCGCGGGCGCTGCTCGCTGCCATCTTAGAACTGGGTGACCATGGTTTTGGAAGAGTGTGAGATTAGTGTTTTATAATAATAATGTTTATTAATCAGACAAATACAGTCCATTGATTGATTAGTAAGTTAGTAACAATAGTTTCTTAAGATCTATGTTAGTAGAATTAGTAAAAATAAGAAAAAAGTAGTTAAATAAAAACTATCAGGTACAAAGCCCTGCGGAGATGTCGGAGCAGTGTCGTAAATAGGGGCACTCCATCCTCTCGACTATCATCCGTAAGATGTTGCTGGAGCTATATGCAGTATGTTATAAAACAACTACAACTACGCCCTTTTTTTAAGGTCTGGGCTGACTTTGTTTGTGTTTCGTGATCATCTGTCAATCTAATAGGTAGATCAGCCTCCTGACACACGCCGTCGACTTTTTGGGTCTAAGGCAAGCCGGTTTCTAAACGTTGTTTTCCTGCACCGTTCAAGCGAATGCGCTCATAGAAAGTTATTTGGTGCACGGCCGGGAATGGAACCTACAACCTCGGGGGTGAGAGTGGCATGCTGAAGCCACTAGGCCAACACTGCTAGCTGTTTTTTGTTATCGTTTTTTAATATAATATCGTGTCTTCACTGACATCATGAAACATTACGATTTAGCCTAACTTAAGACTATTGTTGAACTATTATCAATTAATTAATATTATTCAGACTTTTATAAGTTCTGCATCATTGATTATGCTTAGTTTATACTTCTCAGAAGCATGTGTCCTAGTCACCCTTGCGTGCGCGCAGCGTCTTCGTGTCAATGTCGGAGTTATATTCAGTTTTTTTATGTTTTTTTTCTTAGCAAGGTTGTGTGCCCGATTGTAAGGCCTTGCGTGCCCATTGAATCTATGTTAACAATTGATTAACGTCGCAATTAAAAATATGGCTTTCTTAGTAATACATAGATAACAGAACTAGACAGGGTTGATTGAAATTTGAATTATTACCTACATCGCTTTTCGCATTGCTCGGTTTTGTCAAAACGCCACCCTTATCAGGGTATCAACTATATTTACGACATATCAACCGATCTATCTATAATTCAAGGAAAGAGACGGGCTGGAAGGAAGTGGTTGTAGAACGACGAGAGTGGAACGGCATCACATCCTCCGAGGAGCTTTTTAGACTAGTCCAAGATTGTTATTGAAGTTGTTAAAAGCCAACGTGTTAAAAGGCATAGCTCGAATTGTAATATTTTTCGTAAATGATTATTAAATGTCTAATTTTTAAGGTTGTAATGTAAGAGTAAGTTTCACAGACATAAATTACTATGACAGGTAACAGATAAAAAATATGCATTCTATACATAGATACTTAAACAAACAGACTAATCGACCTGTTTAATCGTGAGTATCTTTCCTCTATATCTTCAACAACCTCACTTATCGTATATAAGACTGCTATTAAGAAATAAAACAGACTACATTTAGTGTTGCCATTACACCGTCATAAATACTAATGAAAAAATGAGCGGTAAAATCAAATTTCGAATTACTTGAGTCAAAGTGGCCACAATGAGGAAGTAGAACGGCTATTCCCGCAACGGCGCCTGGTCGCACGATTCGAAAACGAAAATAAACTAGATTTTTTTTAATAGGGGGCAAACGGTCAGGGCTCATCTGAGGTTAAGTGATATGGATATAGAAAAAGCTGGCAAATAATTTGAGTGATATGATTTATATTCTGACATTTATATGCAGTCCTTCAATTAATTCATCATAGTAACCCTTTTTATAGAAAATAATTCATTTATTTATTTATATTATTATTTCCAATGATTATATTAATGACAAGTTCAAATACTAGATTAATAGATTAATTAAGAAGCTTTAGTTTTTAATAATTAATAATCACCTAATTTATCACCGGTTAATTAGTGACACAAATTTGTGTTTCAACGTTTATTAAGTGTACAATATATGAAATGATATTTTGATTTTATTGTTCAATTGTATTACAAGTGTTAAATCTTCTATAGTAACATAAACTTCCTGTATAACGTGACTCTAAAATTTCGAATTTCAAATATAAACACGGTGCGCAGATTTTAAATTTGGAATCTGCTTTTTTGAAATTACTTATTTTAATTTTGGAATCTTCTTTTCTAAAATTTCGTTTATACATTGAGCAGATTTTAAATTTCGAACCTGCTTTTATAAAAACTTCGAATATACACTGTGAACTGGTTTTGAATTTTGAATTTGGAATCTTGTTAATGAACAAATTAAGTGTTTAGTACCTGCGACTAGTCGCGAAGTCTACAGAAGTTTTACGTAATAGCCCTACAGCGTGATTGCTAGCCAACCCTTCATTACATTTACGCCACCATTAAGCGTAATCAACCACTCATCACACACGAAGGAAACAATAAAATAAAATTGCATCTATCAACATTACGAATGCGTTTAGCTTTTGTTTCGCATATCAAGTACATAAACTTTTGATATTAAAAGTTACCAGCTTAACATAGCTTTTTGTACTTTTTAACTGAGTTTTAGTAAGTGTATCTACTATAACCTTTCAAAACCAAACCTATATTATGAATTATAACAGATTAGGGTATAAAATCCGACTACTAGATCATATTTTAACACATACGTATGCACAAAAACCAATATAATATTGGTTTTTGTGCAATTTTCTAGGGTAGGTAGGTAAAAACTGGTGGCTACCTAAATAAAAATAAACAATTTTTTTTCACACACAGAGGTTATTCTTTCTCTATGAGATTCATTTCAAAAAATAAAATAAAGAAATTAAGATGCGTTACCGATTTAAATATTCAAAACAGTTCGAATTTTCAAATTTGGAATGAATTTGACAAGTGCGGAAACGATCGGGGCCACCCCTCATAGTTTCCCTACGCACCTTAAGCAACCCTACCGACTATTATGACGCAATCAAACACTCAACATATACGCAAAACTGGGGTACAAAGTTATGGCGAAACTTTATGATAAACTAATTTTTTGATTGTTTAATACTGTCAATTTACTATTATTAACACGAATGCTTAAAAGAAATCATTACTATTATATTAGAATATTAATTTTGTCAGTGTACTAATTTATTATATGTATTTATACGAATTATTTACAAGTCAAACAAAAAACCTTCCAACACGAACAAATTTATTGTTTTTACCTAGAGGCGTTTTTCCAATTCGAATTATTTCTTATATAGATGTACGTAAGCTTTGCTGGCTATAATAATGAAATTTATCGTAAATTTATTGAATTTAAATACTAAGTGAAAATCATATATCGTATAGAAATGTTAGAAGGCAGTTAGCCAACTATTAAATTCGCGCCGACACACGTTAAGAAGTGCATGCATGTAAAATTGTATTATCTGTATTCGAAGTGACGTTGGCGCCTATTTTATCAACAGCTTACAAATACTTACGATTGGCATTAAAATTACCGTTTAGCTTTGATTATTATAGTGAAACTATCTTATGTGTTACTTTATAGTTTTAAATCCTTTACATATTAAGGAATTTCAGATGTTTAATTAAAATGGAACAGAAATTCAAAATTTGTATTGTTTAAAACGATATTTAACGATATTTAATTCAAAAATCGAATATAACTTATATATTCGAGGTTTGATTTTAAAATTAGAACAGTAACAAAATGAAGTTTGCCATTTTAGCGCAGGAAGAGTGAACGATTGCGACATAGGCTGGCTGAACTAAAACCTCTTTACGATAAACCATCGACACATGAATGGGTGATCTTAATTTATCTGTGAAAGGTTCCGGTTAACACTCTGTATCGGACTAATCGAATCATTAAGCCTACATGTGATTTAATAAATCGATAAACTTATCGATATCAGCCATTAAGTTATCATAGTTAATAAATTTATATTAAGTAATCTTAATTTTGCATTCAGTTACGGTGATTTGATAATGAAAAGTTGCTTTCGTGGTACGAAATTTATCCCCTAACATTCTAATTGGGAGCCAAATGTTATTAAATTCTATGTATAAGATTTCATATTGTAACATTGACAGTAGATAAAGAAATCGTATGCAATGAGCGAACAAGGCCAGTTTTTTGTATTTAATTTGTTTAGTATTTCAATAATTATTCGTCCACAACGCCATTGTGAAGTGACCTCCATTTTTTCAGGTTTTTAATACCTGTAATGTGTCAGTATTACGAAATTTAAATCACTTTTTTCAATACTATTTTCGGTTTTAGTACCGACACAAATCGAATTTGGAAGGTATATGTTAATTTATTTGTAAACAATTTTTCTATGGCACCGAGTTCTCGAGTTTAATAAAGTAGCTATTAACACACTTCTTATCAATTAATTAATCACAAATATGCAGCCATTCCCTTTCGAATATCGTTTATACACCAATGAACGAAGACTAGGTTTACGCAAATCTTTGAACTTTGGTCGTATTTTTAGCTTAGTAAAAATTACTTACTGTGAGGAGGTGTCAGGGAAAGCGCTGATACTCCTGGCGGCACGGGCGGGAACATGTCCTGGTGCGGTGGGAACATTCTCGGTGGCGGTGGGGCTTCTGTTTCAGGCTCCTCAGGCTCTTGTTTGTGTGGAGACCTTCCTCGCGATAGTCGAACAGCTTTCAAGCCACTGGGTGACCGCCGCATAGACAAGTTTTCGGGCGTATCTGATTCTCCTGAACGGCGTCGAGGCCTTGCCTGTTTACGCCGGGGCTGGGGACTGTGAGGACTCGCAGGTGGTGACACGGCTGCTGGCCCTGTCGGCGGGCTGTTAACAGGCGATCTTTCAGATTCAATCGCTTCAGACACATCCTGGTCAGCCAGGCCCCGCACTTGTAACGATTCCCCCGCACGTATCACAGTACCGAGCTGTTCTTGCGCCACTGATACCTCGCCGCGGTACATGAAATCCACAACCGCCTGCACTTCCCATCCTTGGAAGTCCTTTAGCACGATCACGGGATGCTTGCATGGGTTTTCGCTGAATATCCGACGAAACAGCGGGCTACACGCACCGAGTAGCACTTTGTGAGCGCGGACGCGGCGTTCGGCGCAGACGAGGGTGACGTCCACGAGCGTCTCCGCATGGAGCAGGGCTTCGAAAGAACGTAACAGATGCGCCTGGTGGTTGTTCCAGCGGAGGCTGTAGTGCTCCTCGCCGGCGGTCGGTTTGTCGTCCATCGCGCGTGCCGGTGTGGACGCGTATGTGGTGTGGCGGCTTATCGTGCCGGCAGGCGCAAGCGCGGTTTCGCGCCGCCCTCCGCCCGTTGCACAACCCTTTCGCTCAGATAGTGTTCCCGGACGGTGTTCGCATCACTCGGAATGTCAAAGTAAGCACTGCACAGCACTCGATCGAGATGAGAGTAAACGCGGACGTGCGACGCGGTCGGGTCGCGGGCACGGAGTGAGCAAGCGGCCGGGACGAGCGCGCGATACGGAGACGTGAGGCGAATGGTGCGGACTGCGGAGCGACGGCCCGGCTCGACCCGCCCTCGGCCCCGCCCTGCGGCCCCCGCCCGCCCCACACCCCACCTCCACATACACCACACATGTCACACGAATACCTACACACGTGACGCCTACTCCACATTATGTATTTTTCTTAATACCTACCGTTTCTCGGAAACAGTAGCAAACGTCATAACACGATATGTGTTCTCTTATATAGAAAATATATTTATAATGGCAAAAGTACGCCATATCTTTTTTAAAATGTGGAACATCTGGAGTTTCTGTAGGAAGATAATCTGTTTTTCTATCAGATGGGTTCATTGAATGGCCGGCGAGAGCAATAAAATATTCTGGGAAAGAATTGCGGAGACTTCAGACGGTCGCGGACAGTGGCGGGTAATCCATTAAAATGTGATCGCCGAGGTAAGTTTATGATTTGAAAATATGCTTTGTTTTTCAACTTTCACTAAAGCGTAATTTTTTGTTTGACGTATCGTATTAGAAGCTTAAGATTTTATTATACCAAGAATGATTATGTTTTTTAGTTTACCGACGAAATAATCATATCTTATAAATAGTGTTTATTGTTTACTCAAGAATATTAAAAAGTTAATGAAGAATAACGAGATTTTTTTATTCAATAGAAGTTGTTTAGTACACATCTACAGGTTTTAAACATTCTGACATATCTAAATTAAATATTCAATAAGTTCTGAGGCTCCATACAAAAAAGTTTTAAACGAGATTTAGAAACCTGATGTCAGGTTCGAATCTCCGTTGTGCAATAAACATATTAACAGTGAAGGAAAAACATCCTAAGAGAATCGACATAGAGGATTTAGAAGCCTAGTTGATAAAAACCTAATAATTATGATACTATAATATTTTTTTATTGATTCATACATATGTATTTAATACCTTGGATTAACTTTTACATTTTTTTTTATGTAACCTGTTTTTTTATATGTATGTTTTTGTATAAGGTAACAAAGTGTGAATAAATAAATAAATCCTTTCTCCCGATAGGATACGGATACCACGGATCTCCACTTGCTACCTGACATCTCACTGACCACCTCTCTAGCCTCAATAACTTTCATGACATTCTCCATGCACATTATGGGTACTTTTAACATATCTAGTTCGTCCTGGATTTGGTATCGGCAAGGCCAACCCGTCCCAACCTCACCATCCACCGTTGTATTTATTTTTTAACCGCTTCCGATTCATCCGTTCTACATAGTCAAACCACCTAAGCATACTCTTTCGTATCCGTGTCACTACGTCCTCTTTTATACACTATAACATCTTAATAATTATAAAAAGATTTCTTTTAACAAAGTATTAATTTCCAAAGTTTAATATAGCTATTCAAAGGGGGAACGCTGCCAGTATCTTCGGAACCTTGCCTAAAGGGACTCCTTTTAATATATTTTAGTAATTATTTTTTAAGGTTAGTTATTGTTTTTTGTTATATAGTTAAATTATATATTAATAAATAATGTTTACTATTCAAACTTACACTTTTACCTACTTAAGTTAACTTAATATTATATATTATATGATATTCACTAATATATGTTAAGAGGATTCTAGATTTTTATAGAACAGGGGTAAACCGGCAAGAGGCTCATCTGATGTTAAGTAATACCGCCCTTAGACACTCAATGCCAGAGGTATCACGAGTGCGTTGCTGGCCTTAATAATGAGTTGCAATAACTTATTCAACATTAACTAAATCAGTATTATCTATATTGTTTTGCCTTTGTCTTTGTCATTTTTTAACAAACTACATTTTTTTTGTTTTACATACAGATAATTACGATTTTATTATCTAATTATTAAATAATAAATCAGTGATCAAATCTTAGTCTTTCCAACAACAAGTACTTAAAGATTTAAGGTGCCTGCTGACTCGAGATCAGCCCTGCGATTCTGTAACGAATAACTTTTCGAACTCACACAGCGAGGAAATGCTGCGAGCGGTCGAAACTCAGTCAAAGACCAGACATTTTACATTTTGCATTTTAATTTACAATAAACTTTTAGGACTTATCTATATACTATATAGGTATAAGAATATTAGATATATATATATTTATTATTTTATGTATATTTGAGAGTTGGAAATAAATTGCAATCAATGAAATTAAGTTGTACTTTATGTATTTTTCGATCATTTATCTGCTAACAAAGATTTTTATAGACGTAGGAAGTCTAGATTAGAGTTGTTGGCTTCACCCAAGAACCTTGTCAAGGACCTTGTATCGAAAAATACAACAACTACAGGTTTTTGAAGTGGATCAAATCTGATATAATTCTTATAATTAAATCTTTATTCGTGGTAACTAGTACATATAATTTTAATACCAGACATAGACAATTATTAAAGTGTCTTATATTCCCTTATATAGTATTTATAGTATTCCCTTATGAAGAGCACGTTTAACCTAGGTTTTTAGGACGTAAATTACCGCTGAGTAAAGAACTTGGCAATTTAAAAGAGTGACGGAGTATTGCCAGTTCTCGTCTACGCCCTTGATTTGAGAACTGGTGGTAAATTTAAATTTAGAAGCATGACGCTCATAGTACATTACCTAATCAATAAATAATATTTTGATTGACGCAATATATTTCGTGGCACAGTTCCTTGTTTTATTAGCATCGAACACACTTACGAACCTTGTATAAAGCTAAAATAGTTCATTCTAACGAAACTTTAGTGAAATTAATGTGAACAAGCCCATACATACGTTATTAATTTGTGGATCGCGTGGCTTTTCTTTAGGCATTTGTGGCAAATGGGCATTTAGTTGGCGTAAGTATGCTGCTTAAAATGTGCTTAGAGTATCGCAGTATTTATTTGGATATGAAAATGTTTTTTTTGAATTTAGAATATGAAATCTGTGGTTTAAAAATATTCTTAGCGTCTGTTTGAATTTGGAATACGAATAAAAAAACAAATATGTTTATGGCCAATGCATAGGCAATTTACCGTTACAATTACGTGTGTATAGAATTTAAGTTCGAAAATATATTATGACGTTAACACAGATTATGGTGACGTAACTTTCTAAGAGAACATGGGGCAGACATGGGGCTTCTACTTCATTTATTTAAAGTTATAGGTGATCTAACTTCGAAGCCGCATTCGTTAAGTAAATAAATTAAAAAAATATCCTTTTAATTATCTTGATTTCTAACCAATCTATTTCAAAGCTTTGTCTGCTATTTATGGATTAGTGTTCTACCGTGGCGTACTACCTACTGGAATAAAAATGCGTTTTTTATTGAATTATCTACTACTTCTACTTGTTTATAGTAGGTATTTCTAACTAGAACTTAGCAGTTAAGCCATCAAAACATGTCATGAGAAATAACATTTTATTCACACCCAATCTAAACGAAAACGACACAGTGAATTGCCCAAAATTAAGTGCCTATATTAAAAACACCACGCACATATTCGTCGAAATAAATCAAGTTGAAATGCGTTATTACCGAAATTCGGTGGAAAGCAGTGTTTTCCACGAGCTTTATTAGCTGAGGTCAGATCTTATCGAGTGCCCACATACTAATGGCACACACGTAAGGGTAATTCGGGGTGATGTATGAGCTACGCGGGAAATGAAAAGTTTGAATTTCGAATGGACTTGATTTTAGAGTATGGTATGTTTTTTTTATGGACAGTGTTTTTGGATAAGTTCTTAACGGGGGGAGTTTTTATTTTTTTATTTCTGGCCAGTATACTTGTCTTTTTAGTATAAGGTTTTTAAGAACTCCTTACTGACGTTCGTCTATGTATAGATAAAATGTGGCTTATATAGTCTACCAATGCTTGCTTAAAAGACCTCGTATTTTAAATAAATTATTCAAATAATATTAAAATGTACGATATTGGTACCAAATACGTTCTTCGTTCTTCATTCAAATTTTCTTATAAGGAGAAAAAGGGTATAATTCATTTTATATTCGTGCTCCAGCGTTGTAAGACGTGACGCGTCGAAGCAGAAGACATGAATACTCCGCTCTCACCTAGACGCTGCACTTTTCTTGACTTGTGAACTTATAGAGTAGAATGTAGACAGAGATTTAAATTAAATGTTGATTTAACTTATGTATTATAATGATTAAGAGTACCTATTGGTTTTTCAACCGCACGTATAAAAAATAGTTAAAGCATTAGTTCGCACAGGTAAGTGACAAAGTTTCATTGCGTATTCGTATTTTAATACAATTCTTATGTCAAATTATAAAAGTAATACATCAAAAATGGATATGGATATAACTTTAGTTGCAAAACAATTGAATTAAAACCTTTTTTGTGTCAATTCAGAAATTGTTCTTTATTTAAAAAACAAACTCACGATGTTAATCTGCTCTGTGCAACCCCTCATGCATGTTATGTTCATATCACCGGCTGAAGTTCAGCGGACGTTGAAAAGTGAAAAAAAACACACTTGTCTGCCAACTTGTACGGCGAACCACTTAGATTAGTTTGGCATTGCACTTGCTAACTTCAGTGTACTTAAGTGTGTATTTTATTCATATGAACGTTTCAAAGGACAAGATTTCGTCTTTTAAAATGTATAACAAGAAAATATAGGTGCGTCGTCTTATTAATCCTTAATGGGACCTCTTTATGTTTAATTTATTTTTTTATAAGAAAAACTAGCTTTGTGTTCGATAATTATTATCTGTCATAGGCTTCCTAGCCTTTCGATTACAATTTTTGTTTGGAAGGATTCGTACTTAACACCCATTTAATTACGATCTGTGATATGTCAGGTACGTTTACTTTTTTTATTAGACAGCGAATTTCTATAAATTTCATAAAGAAATATTAAAAAGAATAATTTAACCTATCAAATTATCTGTTCTTCCACAGAATCAATATAGATTTTTGATGTATTATGTTGTGCCATAGAATATGTTAAAACGATAGAATATGACCATAGAGCACTGCACTGTAATGAATCAGATGTGTATCGGTGACGTGTGAGAACATACGGCCAAAATACCCGCCGTAAATATTGGCTCGCGTGCGATCACATTTGAATTTAGAATACATAGACATTCCCATTTTTAATTACACTTAATTACTGTTTAGAACTTTAAAAATGGATTATTATGTCAATTATGATGATACCGGAATAGAATTTTATTGTATATATATTTTTTTGAGATATTAATTATGTGACGCAAAATTTTATTATTATATTTAATATTGACATTACAGAATTCTTATAAAAATTATTTTACAATCTACATTATCTTGTTCTGAAATTAATGCGTAAATTTTTCATCCAAAATTTAATTAGATTATTGTAATTATTTCCCAAAAGTATATTATGTTATCACCATTTTTCACAAATAATCTATATATAAAATGAATCTTTGAATGTTTTGTAATTGCATAACTCAACCACGACTGGACCATTTATTTGGCAAAGGGTTTTTATATTCCTTGAAGTACGATGATGGCTTATGGGATATAAAAAAAAAAATTTAAAAAGTCTAAAAAAATAATTTTCAATTCCAACAAATATCTAAGAATCTTTAAAGGCAATTTGAGCTTTGATACGATTTTGTAAATTCAAATTTTAGGGTTACTTTCTATTTTTACATTTTTAGACTAGTGATAACATTCTTTTTATCTTACTAGAACTGTCACAAGAGAATACCACCACTGTCCACATTTAAACAAGCCACTTTTTTGTACTTAAAAAAAAAGATACAGAACATACCAAAATTAAAAATCGTATAAGTAGGTGATTTTATACGGTGATATGTCCTTATTTATAAAATGCCTAATCTAATAGTAAAAGCTCTACGGTATTCGTGCCCATACCCGCCCCGGGCGGTGAAAATAAAAGTTAACTTCGTCTGATAAGCGCCGAAATTTTCAATGTTTCCACATTTCACTGGTTTTACATTGCCTTGCAGTTAATTTTAACCGTTAGTACTTTGTTAATAGATATGGGGGAAGTGCTGGGTTAAATATACATTTGGCATTTTAACTGGATAAAGGCGTTTTAGTTATTTTAACCGTGTTTCTTGTTTGAATTCTACATAAAAAAGAAAATGTAAGCAAAATTGTATTTGTTTGATTGGTCAATAGAAGCAGGTTCTGGAACATACCTATTACATTTTGGATAAATCCCGGATGCTCAGGATTCACACTAAATATCTTTTCAAAGTTGCAAGTTATGGCTAAGCATGACTCATGTCCTAACCTATTGGACGTTATAAACCCAAAAGTGTCAGGCACAGAAGGCTGATTTAAATAGGCCATTAGTAAACTACATATTATTTCCCCGTGTGAACACGTTGTTTTTTTAAAGTATATCCCTTAGGCACATTCTTTTGTCAAGATATTGTTTAATCCTATAGACAATTCCGCGCATTACCTGGCAATATTTTCATAGAAAGTTAATAAAATGTACCGTAAAGTCATAAAGGTGCCATCGAGACGAGCGGAAGACAATGGGTAGATACCTTTTTTTCCGCATACATTCTGTTACTAAAGATAATAAATGCTTTTATGACACATGCGGAATTACCATAAACAATGACAGCAGTCTTTACGAAGGTTTGGGCGGGAAATGGTTTAATTTATTTTTTGTAGTTGATGTTTTAAAATTGGAATTACTACATACATTTCGGGTACTTTCCAGTGATAATAAATGCTTTTATGACACATGCGGAATTACCATAGACAATGACTGCTGTCTTCTCCTTAGGCGGGAAATGGTTTAATTTACAAGATTTTTGTTGTTGAAGTTTTGAATTTTGAATTCGAAAATCGGGATGCTTTTCTATGGCGTGTTAAAAATATTTGTATGTGATTAGGGTTTCACAGAACAGGTTTTGTGGGTCGGTAAGCTTGTTTAATCTGTTCTATTCATTAAGGTACTTATTACATGTACTTAGAATAAAGATATACTTAAGGGAAACAGATGATTGCCAATAAAATTAAGAAAAATACATATGTCCGCCATTTTACTTTTATGCCCACTGTGTTCGTCTGCTATAGGTGACGCAAAGATTGACAAACAAACAAAATCTCATGTCATGCTCCAATCCTATAAACACTTTACGTAACACGCTCGGAAATTCAGATAAGGCATTAATGGATTGACTGACATAAATGTGACGTCACTACACATATTTCAGCGTTCGCATGTCGGTCAACCAGTTTCCGAAGACCCCTCGGCCTATACCATGAGCTATTTTTGCTATTTCGTTTTCCTTAATATCCAGCTTATTCCATTGACTTAGAGTTGATTTTACATTGCGCTATTATATCGTATCAGTCATGTGTTAAGATTTTGTTTGGAGGACACGGAGGTCAGGTTACAGTGGTCCAAAGTTTATCAGATAGTTTGGGGGAAAGTATGCGTGGTCCGGCTTACGCCTTAAGGGTTAGATTACGATCATACATTAGCATTTCCCAGTACGTGGTTTCGGTTTTGGCTTCTCTTGAGGTCATGTGTTAATGCACGCGATTTTTATTACCTTAACCAGTTTATATAGACCTATTGGTACGAATTTGTTGAATCACAACTATACCCATTGAATTGTTTATAAGATTTTTAAATTAGTTTTATCACTATTATGAGGCCATTATACCATGGCTGTGATTCACCTAACAAAAATGCTCTTCACTCAAATGACATAAAGGCCCACAAGTGGGGCAGAGGGCATCCAGCGTGGAAAACCAGCCTGATCCGTCCTGTGCAGCTTTTAATTTCACTCCACATCCAGCTTCCTTCGCCTCTGCAATGATGCTTCGTTGCCAGGCCTGTTTTGGTTTCCTTGTCTTGAGATTCCAGTCGAGGGCTTCCTTGGCAATCCCTCCGGAGCTTATGGCCCACCCATTTCTTCCGGCGTTTTATAGACCTGTCAATTGACACCTCAAACCTTTCCATAGCTGATGATAAGAGATTCTCTCGGGCTAAATATTCCAAGTATTTGACACAGGCAACGGACGAAGATCTGGTGTTGTTGTGTGGTGGTCTTTGTAACTTTCCACGTCTCGCCACCATCAACACGTTCAATATCGTAAGATTTTGTTTGACTTGTCGTATTAACTTCCGTGATTACTAAACTAGCCTGATACTGGCCGTCGGCTTTTGTGATTCTGAAAGTGATGCCATTTTCTCCAGTTTCTGTGAATATGCTTCCCAAGTAGGTAAATTTAGGGACTACCCTTGCCTGCTCGATGAGAAGTGGGTATGTACTTGTGGCTCTGCACCGCATCTCCCTTGTCTTACGCGAGTTCAAGTCAAATGAATCCTTCATTTTCCGAAATGTTAAAGAATCGTAGGGATCAAGTTACGCTGGTCGTATAGCGTTAAACGTGTGGAAGGCTTATGACGATTTTATCACTAAACTTTTGAAGCAGTGTTATTACAGTTTCGAGAAAATATTGCTTTTTACCTACTAAACTATGTGCTTAGTAATAACCTTTGCTAGCTTGATATGGAGCGCGCATACTATATTTCTCGTAATCGTGTTACATATTTTCCCGTATCACCTCAACGTCCGTCGTTCCACAACTGAGCGTTTTTAAAGCAGTTTTGTGGCACCACTATGTGGAACCAGCTGCTCACTGAAGTATTTCCTGGCAATGTAAGTGTATATGGGCGGTATCACTTCACATAAGGAGATCCTTCTGTCCGTTTGCCCCTTGTAAATAAAACAGAGACACAACGGCCGGCAACGCATTCGAGAACCTTCTGGCATTGAGAGTGTCTTTGGGCGGCGGTATCACTTAACATCAGATGAGCCTCCTTCCCAACAAAAAAAAATACAAAGACAATCACGAAGGACTCGCGTGTGCGTTGCCGGTTTTAAGGACGCTTTTTTATTGACCGTAGTTCCCGTGCCAGATGTTATTACTACCGTAATGCTTGATTGATAAGGTTTTTAAAGACACGTGTTAATAATACGGGGGTGTTATATTTTAACTTTTGACATACCAGTTAACATAATTTAACTGTTAGTAATATTTAACCTTTGCGGATTATTGTAGTTCAATTTATGTTGTATGCAAAGATTTATTATTACTAACATTTTGAATATTGTTTTAGCATAATTTCGTATGCGAACATAATTCCATTTTTATAATGAATATCATGATAATTGTTGAAGTGACGTAATTGTGTTATCAAAATAACAAAAAAAAATAATTTACACCTTCAAGAAAAGAGCCTACCAATTCCTAAAAGTCCAGACGAGGCCTAGTCTGTTCTATAAAAATACCTCTAACGCCAAAACACTCTCCAATAAATTAAAAAAATATATATATAAAAATGCAGAATATTTTGCTAAGCGCAAAACTCAGAGGTAACTTTTGCTATGTTACCTCTATGTTGGTATGTAGCTACTAAAAAGGTAGGCTAAGTAAAATCATATTATGGAGAAACAAATTTGGCAGCTAGTATACAATAAATATGATACTATATATGTTTAAACGCACTTTTACGATACAATGTATGAAAATAATGAATGAACTGCATACATTAACAGATGATTTTAATTGTCCGTTGATTGATTGATTTGATTGATCTTTTTGTATTTTAATCTATTACTGAATGATGTGTTGCTTTTTTCCGTTTATGGGGAATCGAACCCGTGATCTTCAGGTTCTACAAGTTACCCAAGTCATTAGGGCAGGTTTTAAATCGCATATGAAAAATATTGTTTACTCAATACTAAACTACTTTATGATACCCAACGCCGGTAAAGACAAAAGCTTTCTTTTAAAATGTGTAAAGTATATGCAGGTAAGAAACAAACATTGAGGGCACGATATAAAACAACAATAGACCCTTTGTCACATATAATGAGTCATATACGAAATGGGACACAGGTAATGCAGAAACGAAATGTCTTAAGACTCCGCTGGTTGTTGTACCCAAAAAATGTCTTTGAAAACATATTTTGATATATTCGGTAGTAATTAAAAAAAGCTTGTATATGTATATTAAAATGAGGGTTTATTTGATAGATACAAATAATTTAGTTTTGTAAAAAAGATTTACAAATTTTAACATACATATTAATAATTAATTGATGGTTTTCGCCCGTGTAAATTTCTATTTGTAAAATGTCTACTGTCAAATTAAATTGTGTTTTTTCAGACTGTCTGTAGACTGCATCCCTGCGATTCTGTAACTCACTTTTCGAACTCACACAGCGGTTTTCGCACCGGCGGTCGCTCTCAAATCAGTCGTGAAGCAGTCATTTTATGATTTGGCATTCTGATAAACAATAAACTACAAGCTCCCACCTTTTCAGAACGCCAAATCATAAAATGACTGCTTCACGACTGATTTGAGAGCGACCGCCGATGCGAAAACCGCTGTGTGACTTCGAAAAGTGAGTTACAGTCTACAGAATCGCAGGGCTGCAGCGTAAGGTTAAAAATGGATGTGATTTAGGCCCAAACCACTGAATTATTATTACGTTTATGGAATTAAAGAGAAATTAATAAAAAAATAACAAAAAAACTGTAGCTACAACCTTTTTAGGTCTGGGCCTCAGATTTCTGCATCTGGGTCATGATGATTTGTCAACCTAATAGGCAAATGGACTAGCATCCTGTGCCTGACACACCGACGACTTTCTCGGTCTAAGGCAAGCCGGTTTCCTCACGATGTTTTCCTTCACCGTTCAAGGTCCATTGGTGCACAGCCGGGGATCGAACCAACGACCTCAGTCGCACGCTGAAGCCACTAGGCCAATACAGAGAAATTAATAGCCAATATTAACGCGTTATAAACCATAGTCGTAAAATAACGTTTAAAAATATCGATTCAGGGGCATTAATAGGGGTTACGAACTTTTTGGGGTTGTGATTCATTAGGCACGATACATCGCACTCGTACACAACCCAAACATTTTACACATAGATTAAAAACTCAGATACGTCCCGTTACTCATTTGAGAACTATGATTTAGTCGTTTTGTTAAGTGGCATTATTTTCAAGTTACAACAATAACGGGAATCTTTGAATTTGGATGTTATATCGCTATTATACCCTGTCTGACGCATTATCACTACATAGTATAAAACAAAGTCGCTTTCTCTGTCCCTATATCCCCATGTATGCTTAATTCTTTAAAACTACGCAACGGATTTTGATGCGGTTTTTGAAGTTATACTTCTTTAGGGCGTTATGAAAATTTATGAGATGAAATTTTAGATGCGCACCTTGAACAAATTGGGAGTGTGATTATAGCGTGCGAGGAGATAGGAATAAGACAATCTACAGTAAGAAAGAATATGGTGAAGTTCGTATCCAAGAATTTTGAATGACCATAATGACTTGATTTACCTTTTAAACAAATAAGGAGTTTTGATTAATTTTTCAAAGAAATTTATTAATTTTATATTGTGCAATACTGCCAAAGCTACAACATACTTCTTTTTTGGTAGAGATGTTCTAAATATATAATTATATATACTTTTAACTAAATAGAATTTATTTACACTTTGTAGAGAATAATAATAAATAATTATTTATTTAATTTTTCAAATGTAAACTGAACTTAATTGACTATAATGACCCCTTTTCAGTTTTGATTATTTAATTGTATTAATTATTATTTGCATGCAATCAAAAACTATTTTTAATAATGCCAAAGAAGTATATTTGTTACGCGGTACATAAGTACACGCACCCTTTTTTTTTAATAGATAGAGTGATTGAAGAGGAAAGTTTAACCTTAGAAATACTGTTATTTTTGAGGTTTCTAATGTGATGTCGTAAATAATTGCATTTTTTCCGCATACATTGCAAACGCAGGCTGAACCCTACGAAATTTATCAAAATAATGTACTAAGTATTGTACACATTGAAAAGGTCTATTTAGTATCAGCATTGCACCCGTGCGAAGCCGGGGCACCCGCCCTAGTCAATAATAATCGTTGCATTTGGCCTTTTGAATGTATTAATGTATGTTTGATTCTAAATAACCATGTGTGGTTTGAAAAAGAAATCAACTTTGACGTATGTCACACTGTTTGTAAAGTATTAAAATAATATTTCAAATATAATTATCAAATCAATATATACAAAATATAGTAAAAACTATTTTAAAAGAGTAAGTATGGAGTTTCTTGCCCATGCTTCTTTCATATGAATCTATTGGAAGGGGCAACTTGAGTAATTTTTTTAATATTTCTAACTTGTAATTTTGACTTTCAAAAGTGCCTTGTTAATAGGCCTAATTGAAGTAAATGTGACTTGACTTGACAAGTGAACAGTTAAAAAATCACAAAGTATGTGACATTAGTATATATTTTCTTTTCCAGTTGGTTTGTTTAGTTGGCGAATTCATGAAATACTCTGACAGATATCTGATAACAATAAATAAAAATTAGATTAATTATGGAGGAAATCTACACAGTGATGTATTAATGATTATATTCAACCTTTTCATTGAAAATTCAAAATATATTTCCTAACTAAGTCACCTTAACAACAGTAACATGTGTAGCCATATCTGCGTTTGTTTCAATTATTCATAATCTATGATAATAACATTGAGATCACGCGAGCGTACACACGTGCCACGTCTAATGCAAATTACGAATTGTATTGGTTCATTTTAAAATTAAACAAAAGTCAATAATACAAACATTGTAGGTTTTCGTATTACGTCGACGTCCGTCGTTCCACAACAGAGCGATTTTAAGACAGTTTTGTGGCATCACTATGTGGAACCAGCTGTTTACTGAAGTATTTCCGAACCAATTCGACTTAGTGTTAAGAAAAGAGTGTACCAATTCCTCAAAGGCTGACAACGCACTCATGGCATTGAGTGTCCATGGGCGGCGGTCTTAACATCAAATGAGCCTCCAGTCCGTATGCCCACTGTTCTATAAAAAAGTTGTATATTTTTACGTAAATATTGGTCGTTTTAATAATGTGTTTAGAATATAATATTCAAGCATTTACACGTCTTCATAGGTTCATTTATGTTCTCCAGTATCCAATGTTCGTTATAAAAAAATAAATAGCTAATAAATAGCAGCAGAGAACGTAGGTGTGGACGCAGAAATAGTATGTATGTCCTGAGTTTCTACTGGATAAAATTATTTCGATATTTCATCGATGATTCCGTATCTGTCTTATAATCTATGCCCCATAAACCAGACTACACTGTCTTGCAATTTCCAGAAATTAGGAACAGTGTCTAACTTTTAATGAGAGAAAAAAAAAAACATGGCGTACACACGATATGAGCGGATTCGGGCCGTGCCAGGCCGTGCCATTTATAATTACCTTGTC